AAAAATGAATTCTTAACAATATTACTGAAGTACCTATACTAATTATGGGGTTTAACAAAACTCCTAAGTATTTTTTTTTTTTTTTTTTTTTTTTTTTTTTTAAGTCATATGATCTTGAGGACATGAATGTCTGGGAGGTCATATAACATTAAGATGTTAAAAGAAAAAGAATATTAATATCTATATACGTTTACTAATCCAACTCGATTTCCACAAGTAATATAAGAATACCATTATTATCCACAAGTCTTCGGTCACACCCAGGATCAATGCCGGTTTGTAAAGTCATTAACTGCTGGGCTTCACTTTGTCATACTTCATCTTGCATCCGGTTTTGCAGGATTAGTAATTCATTTGGGTTATTGGCAATTAAAGGATAGCTATAAAAATCTACCCAATATACGGCCTCACTTAAATTGAGCTCCAGGGATGCTATATGGTCATTAAAGATAGGATGGTCATAGAGGAAGAACTCATTTTCGAAGTGCTGGGTTTTCCCTGCAAAGACTAATTTTTGGTGTCTTCTAGGAGTTAACTTAGTAAAAAGAAAGACAAGTATATATATAGGCACGTCCATATCCATTGCCTGCTCATCTTTTTCAATACCAATTCCCTCTGTGCCGATATCAATGGCTTGTGGCTCAAAGGTTTCTTCCTGGTCATCTTCTAGACATTTGATAAATTCATCCATCATTGCATCCTCTTTATTTACTTGGTCTGCAAGACTCTTATTAATCTTTCACTCTTCAGTCAAGGTTTCTTCCTCTGGGGTGGTTAGACTTGTCGATCCACTGTTTATTACAACTTCTATTTGGTACTCATCATCATCTGACGTTTCCTATTGTGAAGAAGAAGAATAATTACTATCGGATGATCCTTCATCACCCTCATACTTGGGGTCATTTTTTCCTCTGAGGCTTCTATAACTTCTTCGGGTGTAAGGGACCAAGGAACATTTTTTTTGGGCTCCCATTCCATCCGGGTTACATCAGAGAAGCTTTCTTCACCCTGGATGGCCCTTAAATCATCCACTAAGTATACTTCATTCTGGGAAAGTGACATTTCAGCTTCTTTTCCATTCTTATATTCTCACCACTGTTGGGCAATATCACTATGGCCTTCCCATAACAATCTACAACCTGATTCTACTTCGAAATCATGTAATAATTGTTTATACCCTTGTTTCCACCGATTCATGTCCACTACTTCACTCTTATCCACCTCCCACATATTCCATTGTTCCTCCATACTATCAGTCCTTTCATAATCCATCTCTTCTACCTCAGATTCATAACCCCTTCATCCTCATAGTCCTCTTCATAATCTTTATTTTCTGAATACCATTCATCTTCACTATCTTCTATACATATAACATCAACTTTAAAAACCTCCCTAGCTTCTTCTGGCCAGTTTTCTTTCTCATTATCATTTATTTTGGGGAGACGGAATAGTGCATCTACATTATAGTGCACCCGACCACTCCTATGTACGATTTTAAAAATGTAAGATTGAAGCCGGAGGATCCACCTTGCTCTTCTTCCTTTCAATTTCGATGTTTCCAACCATTTAAGAGCGGCATGGTCCATGATCACTACAAAAGGCTTAATGCCTAAATAATGGTGGAAATACTCAATTCCTCAAATTACCGCCAGGCACTCCAACTCAGTAATAGAGTAGTTTTTCTCGGCATGACATAAACTTCGGCTAGCATATGCAATCATGTGCTTCCTATTTTTTTCATCTCTTTGGGACAACACGGCCCCAAGACCTATCCCTGAAGCATCTGTGTGTAAGTAGAATGTCTTATCAAAATTTGGGTACTGCAAAATTGGGGCAGTAGTCAAATGGTGCTTCAATGTTTCAAATGCCTTATGTTGAGGCTCGCCCCAATCATATGGCATGTCTTTCCGAAGTAGGTGATGCAAGGGTTGAGCAAGAGAGGCAAAACCCTTAATAAATCACCTATAGTAGGATGATAGACCCAAAAATCCTCTCAATTGGCGCAGAGTCTTCGGTGCCGGGTATTCTCGGACTTTGATGACCTTTTCATTATCTGGCCTAATTCCATTCCTAGTAATTTCATAGCCTAGAAACTTTAACGACCTTCTAAGAAGGTAACATTTGTCACTATTTAATTTTAACTGTGCCTCCTGAAGCTTGATAAAGACCCTTTTCAAATGTTCTATGTGTTCCCAGAAAGTTCTAGAGTAGACAGTAATGACATCTAGGTAGACAGCAACAAATTGCCCAATATACTTCTTTAGCACATGGTTCATCAGCCGCTGAAACGTAGCCGGGGCGTTACAGAGACCGAAAGACATAACATTAAACTCATACACCCCGAACTTGGTAACAAAGGCCGTCTTTTCCCTGTCTTGTTCGGCTACGGAGACTT